AAAATATGCGTACCGAGACGTCTGTGTATGGTCCTGAGAGAAAAGTCATAAGTCAAATCAAATGAATGATTGGATTGGAAAGGAATGTTGTGAGCGTGCAATTATAGCAAACTTAACCAATTCTTCCACACGAAAAGGAAACTAACAACATCTGTGTCGACGGAGAGTATAGGTGACGTAGCAAACCAAAACAGGGAAGTTTACTATCGGTTGACAATGGATACACAATTAAAGGAGTAAAAGTAGGGCTATCAAGTGTAACACTGGTTTAAAAATGATAACAAAACGCGAGGTGTTTCAACTTGAGAAATTCAAAGAATGCGTAGAAAAAACTTGCTTAAATTTTAGCAAATAAATTATTTCCGCCTTGTATAAACATGCCATAGCACACTAAGTGACCAAAATTGTAGAACTCGTGATTTTGAATTTAAGAATGAAAGTACTTCTGCGACGAACTACTACCACCATCGCCGCCGTCTTTTCACTCAAAAGACTGACCTACTGAGCAGTTCAAAATCTGGAGATTTTATTGTAAATCAATACGCATAAAATCTCATTTTGACAATTAACTACACCTTATCGTGAAAGACACAGGATCTCAAACAAAGCGATGGAGAGAAGGAGTCTCAAATTTCATAGTAACATGATAGGCTTCAAAATCTCAGAGGAAAGAAAATTAGGAAGAATGACAGATTTTAGCAGCGATCAAACAGTGAAATAAAACAGTTATATGAGGCGTTTTGCAGTAAGAAAAGGGTTAGGGGAAGTCCATTGCGATGGCCCACATTTAATGTGAACAGAAGGAAAAAGGTGTTTCCTTGAGTTTAGCGTACAGTGGGATGAGTAATCGCGCACTTGTTTGAGTAATTGCCTGCTTTAAACCACGGGAGAATGGTCAAAAGTAATCGAATTCAAAGGCATTACGTGAGTTGTCTTTTAAATCAAAAGAAATAAAAAAGGAGCGCTTACAATATCGACGATTCCTTTAAAAATAGGGGAAGTAGTAATATTCAGGCAAAAGATAAGAGAAAATAAAAGAACTTAGATTATTAAACCTTAAATACCCGAACCATTCTTTTTTGAACAATGCAACCAATCGCAGCCACGAGTGTCTCACGGCCGATGTGATGAATTTTCGTGGCATCAGGCGAAGGCTACATAGACACTATTGAGCACACTTCAAACAGCAATGTCGCACCTTCTGTTACGAATCAAGTACCAATGGAGTCCATTTTGAAAAAGAACCGTACGGTTCTAAGGGTGTTAAAGGGTTAAGCTAGAAATACCAAAAATAAAATTCCCACTATATATGAACGATAATCGAGAAAAGACAATGCTACTTTACATAGCAGAAATTTTAAGAAGTAATTCAAGTGATTAATTATGATAAAGAACTACTAAGTCCTCAAAAACAAGGAGGAGAAATAATTAAAAATTCCTTTCAATAATAAAACGAATCAAAACATATTTCCACTCTGAGTTAAGTAATAAATAAAGAGAGAAATACTCGAAACTTCCAAGACCAGTTTCCCTCCACCTCCTCCTTAATTAAGAAGGCTAGAGATGGGCCGACAAGTGAAACACATACTAATTTAATAGATAATAAGGAAATTATTATTCTGGAACCCAATAAGACCCAGCAAGTATGTGATTAAGCGCTTTTGTCCTAATATAAGGCTAATGAAATGATATTAGTGAACGAATGACATGTGAGCACAGTGTCTGATATGTCAGAGATTAGTTAGACCATCACTGCTAATCGAAGTGCAGATATCTCAAGTTAAGCGATTAGACTGTTTGCCTTTATTGCATAGAATCTTCACCATTATGCAAATGAGGAAGAGGTTACCAGTCAATTCGTCACCGGACATCTAAATTCCAAACCTGGAATCACGCTTTCAGCACTGAGATCAAAATTCGTCAATGACACCAACGGGCATTTTAGCTAAAAAGCTACGCGGAAAAAAAGATTTCACATAATTCAAACTGCTAAGGCAATTGCCTTTTCATTCGAATCGTCTTTAGCACTTCCATTTATAATGGCATTTTGCCTGATTCAAGTTTCCGTAGACAAACAAAAATGCTTTCCTAAGGATCTGTGCGCGTGGAATTTCGAAATTGCACACAGAAAGCAAATGAATGCGAATTTGCAAAATGGCAGCAAAGTCTGGTTTTTTTAATAAGAGATGATTTAGAAATATTTGGCCGTTGACTTCGCGTAATCAGTATTTCACACGTTAAGTTCATTTTCAATGAGATCAACAACGAACATAAGACGAAATAATAAGATAGAGGGTTATTTTTAGATTTTTAGAAACATCTTTATTTCTACGAACGACAATTGACTGGCAAACTATTTTTCACTGATGCACACAAAATGAATGTCCACAACTTAAACTCGTGGTTCTCGACTCATAAATTTGTAATGATGTGGACGGAAAGAGAAAATTATTTAACCAACAAAGCCTCCATTTACCTTTACAAATTATCAATGTGCTATAAGTAAGTTATTTAACTTGAAATGGTCAGAAACAAAACAGTCACTTGTGAAATCAATTCGAGAGTATGAGTACCCGACATGACAGAACCATAAAAGACAAGTAGTTGCATTAAATCATACTAATACCAACTTCACATAAGTAGTATCTTAGCAATGACAGGTAGATACTAAAGAACTGAAACAAACAATTCGGTAAAAGTGATTGCAAATAGAATTGTGAACACACAAATAAAGATTCACACATGTATCTCGCAATACAGGCTCAGGCCAGTGTTTTCAACAGCCGGTACTGGCCTGCACACATATTGCATAAAAGCTCATCCGTATAATAGGTGTGAATTATTTTGCGATATGTTTGTACCACTAATTTAGAGAGACTCATGATTGAAACACACCAGATAGTAGATATCTTGTTTAGCAAACTATAAAGACGCGAATAAGCAAACCAAAATGCCGGAAAAATAAAGAATGAGGCGTAAGCTATCGAAAGTGAGTGACTGTCAAGCCTAATAATCATTATTAGTCTAAAGCATACATATCATCCATCATATCCCAATGGTGGGAAAATTGATGCAAGATGGATATAGAAGAGGAAAAGTGCTTTTATAAAATAAATGTTGAACATAAAAGCAGAAAAATTCAGCTTACCCTTTTGAGGATATCTAGAGGTCATTGTGGTAAGCATTTGTAAGTGGAAATCGATTAGAGAAACTGAAGAATTAAGCTAATCACCTATATAACAGAAAATAAAATTCCAATGATTAATATATCAAAAATGGAACACAAAAAATCATGACTAGCAGCAGGGAATAATAAAATCTTGAACGAATAGATTGGGGGGGGGGGTTAATAAAGATCTGAATGAAATAAAAAATATTAGAAGTCTAATAATTTGAATGCAATGGTATATCGTTGGAAGTAAATAAATACTAGGAGAAAATATAAGAAAAAATTCTAAAATAAACAGGAAAAAAGAGAAAAATATACTGATATCGAACCTTAAGGGTTGACGAACCTATATCTGATTCTAAGTTATCAAAAGTAATCACTGCCGATCAAAACATCTAACTACAGTAACTAAGATTTTCGAAGAAATTCCGAATACAGTTTAGTCATAATTCAACAATCACCATGGATAAAATTGAATTCACAAATTAAAATGACTTAAGAGATATCCCAAATAAAATAAATTATGATTTTACAATTCAAATAATCATAAGCAAAAGTAAAACGAGAAAAGCTTATAAATGGTATACTAAAAGTAAATCATATTTATCACTCTCAAAGTTGCGTACCAAAATTTTCATAAAGCCCGGATAATCATAAATTGCAGGTGGATTACTTCGACCTTTGTTGAAATTATTGTCCAGACGTACATTTAAACAGTATTAAAACTATTGAAATCTTGTATACTACACAGTAATGAGACGTATTTCATAAAAGAACATTATTTTATTTGTGATTTTTATTTAAATAGCACGTAAATATGAGGTTACTCATTCAATTTTCATACATTTAGGTGCTTTTACGTAACTTTTACCATTTTTTATACCAGATCAACCACTTGGTTTTTACTGGGATTGAGTAGGTTTAGCTCTATCGTTAGTTCACTTTCACGTAAATCAGACGCTATGTTTTTAAATTTCAGAATGACAGTTGCAAATATTCGCCTAACATTTGACACTAAACAACCAAGGATTTCGCAAATGGAGGAGACAATTTTACTCTGGTTTTTCTTTTAGACTAGAACATTTGCAATTTTAGGCATTAATTCGAACACTTAGGAGTTTTCACTAAGTAGTTTCCTTTGCGCCATTATTTAAAGTAAGCATATAACATTGCCTTTGATGTCAACACTGAGTTTTTGTGCAGCAAATAAATTTTGACTAATCTACTTATGTAGTCCACTTCTTAACAATAGTGAAATTATGAAATCCCCTGCCCTTCCAGGATATGACTGCCTCAACCGCAGTTATATAAATGGTTATTTTCCCTCAGTAATATGCTTAACTAAATGCAATTTCCTCTTCGTCTTGATAAATGAAATATCACAATAAATCAGTCTACCTTGAGCATGGAAGTTTATTTCAATTTTCGATCACCGCACCTAGATAATGACCGTCATGTGACTGAACTCGCCTAACGCTAACCCTAATATATATATATATATATATATATATATATAATATCATTGCGAATAAAGAAAAGTNTTTCGATCACCGCACCTAGATAATGACCGTCATGTGACTGAACTCGCCTAACGCTAACCCTAATATATATATATATATATATATATATATATAATATCATTGCGAATAAAGCAAAGTGGCTTCTCGACCAACAGAATCTTAAATCATTCATTTAAGTCTCCAGTTTGCATGAGGTTATGTAGGTGTGAAACCCCCCCCCTTCAAACCACGAAACCTGTTGTTCAAAAAAAGCCAAAATTAAATGTTTTCGTTAGCAAATTTACAAAAAAAGAGTCAGAGGCCTCATGCCCTTAGCTTTTGGGAATAGGGGCAGAGGCAGTAGAGACGATTCTTTGATAAATCATCTTTGCAATTATTGCACCAAAAGTAATGAGCAATCCACCAACACCCAGAACATTCAGAGGATGAGAAAAGAGGATACAAGATACCAAAATTGATAAACACATTCGTACAGTCATAATAAGACTGAAAGTCACTGCTCCGAACTCCGCAATAGTAGCAAAAATCAAAATCTGTCCGAATCCGGAGCATAAAGCTGAAGCCACTGCATCAAAGGCGAATTCAGGCTGCCTCCAAGCGAATTGACAGGAACTCTTCAGTGATCCATCAGCTAAGAGTGGTGTAATTGTGAATAACACTGCCCAACTGCAGACTCCACTCATCATCTGAAATGAACACATGTTAATGTGGCCACTAGACATAGTAAGTAGTTGTGAATTTAAGAAATCTTTCACACATGCAGAGGTGACATCTTGAAGGTTCTGAAGAGATTTGCTTGAGAGGTCGAAGTGAATGAGTCCAATGCAACGTAACCGCAGATTAGAATGAGTCCACTAATTGAATTTTCAGTTACCTTGTCACTGTGTTCCGATGGAGAAGAGAGAATAAACATGCACACTCCAAGGCTAATAAGTGCTAAAATGACAACAAATACAAAAATGAATGTTGTGAGATGAATGGAAAGTAAGCTTACATACCTGTAGTTATGTATTCATATGCCTTATAAGCGCGACCATATAGGCACCGACCCATCAACATTACTGGAATAGCTTTGCAGCACTTTGAAATGACCTAGAACACAAAGAATAATCGTTGCGCAAAGGTAGTCCAAGTCTCTCGCATTCAATCAATGAAGTGAGCAACTTCAAAACCAGTTGAAAGAAAAACTAGAAACACAGATAGAAACTGTTTAAACCAAACTCCAACTGTAAACACGAATAATTCATATAACTGTACGCCACTTCGCAAAAGACCGACTCTTCAACAGGAAGTCTACCCTTTAGAAAGAGGGGTTTTTGACTCGAGACAGAATACAATCACTTCAAACTAATTAAATAATCACTACCTAGTTGTCTTCCTATCGCTGATTTTTACAAATTTGAAATCACTTTCTTTTTGATCCGAATACCGGCCAAGTAATGAGAACGACATGTGCCCGCGTAGTGATAGCGAAAAAAGGTAACCTGGAGGCAAAGTAGGAATCTATAATCCCAATGTATAACAAATCTGAAACTTTGAGGATTATTTGCTACCTTCTATTCAAAAAAATTAATTATGAAGAGGATAAGGAGTTAAACCTCTTATTATATGCAAACTCATATACTGGAATTGAACAATACAACCCCCTTTTATATCAAGAAAAACAGATTTTATTTTAAACCTATTAGAGGTTTTTGGAAGAGGCTGGTTGTATTTCCAAGATCATTGCCAATATTTGACTGTGTATTATCCGCCAGAACTCAAAATAAAACAGAATTAACAAGACTGTATGATTTAGTGCCAATTATGAGTAATTAACGGTAAACAAATGAGCTAATCGTTATTTGAGAAAATTATTAATTTTAAAGTATCAGTTTGAACAACGTTCTATTAGCCAATCATATCCATTTCTAGTCACACTGGAATAGTGCTAGACAGTGCCAGCATGTGCATTGAATTGGTGATCGATGATCGAGAGGGGCATTGTTTCTAGGCGACCAAAGAAGGGGCCAGTGTGGAACATTAGCCAACTGAGAAATTGTATCTAATTTCATTAATCCGCGACACACACACAAACGCATTAAGATAGTATTCGATTAAATTCGCCAGAGGTCAATTATAAATGTCAATAACATGAGAACATCAAGTCACAAAAATCAAGACAAATGAATAAATTTTGAATGGCTGAGGTCTCCCAGAACATTCAAAAAACAATCATTGATGGAAAAATTATTGGAGTGATTACCATCTCCTTATAACTTGGAATTAAAATACATAGCACAAAGTATTTATTGATCGAAATGGTCAAACCGTTTGGCATTCGCACTGGGAGAGATGAATAAACGACGGTTTCTCAATCGTTAAAGATGATGTAAAAAAGATAAATGGCAATTTCCGACAAACGCGAGAAAACACCAAAGAAGTTGACCAATTAAGTGTTAAGAAATTTAGACAAAATTAATACAGAAATATTTACCAACCTTTAGCATGTTGCTTCTGTACCTTGATTTATGATACATTATCAAAGGTTTGAAATCTAAGAGTGGCCATAATTTGATCAGCAAAATAATCACACCGATCACAAGTGCTTAAAATGGAAGTCGTCATCTTAAACTTGATCATTTACAAATTAGGGCATATTCTCAAATGAGGACATGGTCAGTTTAAATGACCCTCACATTTACGATATAACTCGACGATCAACGGTACCCCTTCAAAATAAGCTCATTATTACTAGACTCATAACAGAAGACGCTATTGCCTTTTGAGAAGCATAGTCAATACGCGTCTATAGTCTTCTCCTGATGCCACCCAAACTCATCATGTCGACGTCATGAGTCTGCTGTTAAAAGGATAAAGAGGCCTCAAGTCTTAAAAAGTGGTTTAGCTAGAAAGGTTGCAACCGGAATCACTTTTATGAGAAATTTGCATTCTACCCACGATTGGCCAACCACTTCACTGAATGTGCACCGATAGGCATTGACTTGTGACCTTTGACTTGGCAGATGTGCACGATAGCCGATATAATATCACCAACAAACAAGTTTTTATTGTATCTGTAGTAACCGCTGACAAGTAAAGAGGAACGCTCACAAAAGCACACTGCATCCATTAAAAAATAGTTCTCTGCTCCATTAATTTGATCAACAGCAGGCGAGCAAAAAATATTTCATTAAAAGGAAGAAAAAGAAAAGTAAAAATGGAAAAGGAACACAAAATAGGCAACGCTTCAATTTAGCATCCAAACTGATAAGACAGTAATTGGAAGATTTCAATAATCTATTCGATCTCTCCAAATCCTTTCACTTTTCCTCAGCTTCAGTCGGACAGCTGTCTGAGGTATTCAAAACGAGAAAATGGCAATCGGAGCGTGGACTTTACAAGCATAGATTCATGAAAATTCATAACGACAATAGAAATGTAATGATTTACCACACAGAAGTAAATAAAGAGAAAACTCGTACAGCATGAAAATTCGCAAGTTACCCATCAATCGGGATTGCCAATATTGAGGCCACGGGGTGTGCGATAGACTTACCTCCACGTGGTGCACCCTGGGCAACGTATTCTCATACTGCAAAAAAAGTCTATAAACTGGCAGTTGACTTCATACTACCATGACTCGACTCTATGTCATATTCGACCCCTTTCACAGCTCTCATCTTACCTTTTCTCTGCCACTGTGTCTGTCTGCCTCATTTGCATCATTGAATCACTCTTCTCCTTACCCCCTCTCCACTTTATTCTCACTTTGATATTCTTTTCTGTGAAGCCCGAAGTCAGCTAAAGGGCTAATGATAAGCATCATAAAGCCCACCATTTGAAATAAATATTGAGGTCACTAAAACCAAGCACATTGGATTGGGAATTTAATACAGAATTCACTAGTTAGAACAGCGAGATCTGTAGTAGTAGTGGTAGCCTATGGGCAGCTAATTATGACTATAGTTAAACTCACCAACAGTCATTTCGTTTCTAATTGAGCAAAACCTGCAAAATTTTGCCTTCTACTAAACAATATATCTGCAATAATGAAGTAAAATAAAGCGCCAACTCACCTGTACTGGGAACGTGATGAAAAGCAACGCCTCGTATTGACACCAACTCGAGACGATGTTGCTCAGAGCTAAACTTGCATAATTAGCTAGGGGAGACTTGACCTCCACAGTTGAATCATCCCCACGCTTCCCAATTAACGCTAAAGAAATCACAGAAACAAGAAGACCGCCAATTCGATTGCAGAAGATAAGGAATTGCGGCTCACGGAAGTGTTCTCCATTATAACTTCGAGTCATTATCTTTTCCTGCAAGGAAGCATACACATAAAGGGAAAGAGAAGAATTGCCATCAATCGATGGCGCCTTGATTATTAGCTCTTAAATATAAGTGGGATGACGAATTTGCGTGGGTAAAGTGTTCGCTTAGATCTGAATGTCCAGCATAATGGTAAAACAGCAAACTCATGACGCCGACGTGATGAGTTTTGGTGACATTGGGAGAAGACTTTAGAAGTATTGAACATGTTCCAAACAGCAATAGTGCCTCCTGTTGCGATTCTAGTACCAATGGAGCTTATTTTGAAAGAGGACTGTACGGTCCTAAGGGACATTAAAGGGTTAAATGCCGATAATTGTGGAGTACTTCTATGACCTCAATGTTTTCGGTAGGAATAATGATTAGCATTGACCGATTTCAAGCACCCATTTTAGTATTACATCAATATGAAAGAGAGAATAATTTCACCGACTCTACTATTAACGTTGATTTAGTTAGCGCATACAAATGCCAGAAATCGATTAAACAAAGTATGCTAATGCGCCACTATGGTGTGGAAATGAAGTATTTGTTTAAGTTCTTCATGGCAAATAGCAACACAAACGAGAGTGAATAGCCGTCAACATATTTTCATGCTTAAAATAGATGGATATTTTTAGTAACCCATTCTTCTTCTTCTTCTCAGTATATACACGATATCCCAAGGTATGGTCGTCATCTTTTTCTCAATGCTTTTCAACTCAGATAGATAGAGAAGGCTACATTTCACTGAGAATTACAACAAAAAATCCAAAGAAGAGGTTTATCCAACTACGATAGAGTATGAATACATAGATATTGCTTGAATAATTTATTCACTCTAATAAACTTTCCGAGGGCAATACATAAACGATTCATGGTCTAACTGGTTTTGAAATAGATGGTTAATGAGACCAATATGTGGCTAAGATTAAAAGTGTGCGCTTTTGAGTTTAAGCATGTTTAAAACAAACATACTCGCTAAAGTGGAATAGAAAACGCATCATCAAAAAGTACTGGAATACGTAATCAATTTAGTAGATTCATTTAAATTTCAGCTAATCCTCAACATCAGTTCGGAAGACTCAAGACTTATGTGTATATACAATTAACACATGTAAGGTCGAATTTCATAGGCTGCGAAAAATGTATACGGTAATTGGACACACGATGGATGATACCATGTGAATATAATGGATACGCGCCTGTCTGACTTACAACTCCACTTTTTAATGGCCATCTCCGGTGACTTGTAGATCAGGCGACGAAAATCATCACATATACAAACGGCATTAAAGTTAGATTTCCTTATTGAAAAAAACCGGCATTAGCACTTGACTTAAACAAGTCACATAATTATGGGGAACAAACAGGTCAAAGATCCAAATACGAGAAACAATGGAATTGAATACACACACGCAAATCTGCACTGCTAGTAAATATGAGATTGAGTGATAAAAAACGAATACAAACGATTGGCGAAAAGTATGTTCAGTTCATGCTTAACAACACACATGTTGTAAAAAGACTACTGTGCTATTATTATGGCTAAGAAATCGTAAACAACAAGCTGAGCAACCGGGTTTCAACTAAACAACATACATACAAAATACTAGCTTGAAAAAGTATGCAAAAGTTGCTTGGAGTCTAAAAAAAAGGAGAGATCACCTTTGGCCCTAATGAAGCATGAGGAAACAGACCTAAATATCGTGGAGTAAATGAGCCCAGAATAAATTAACAATTAAGAGATATTTTTACTAACAGAAAAACTGATTTGAGTCCTCAAAAGCATGTAGTTCTGAACAGAGGAGATTAGAAAACAACTACACAATTTCTGATATATTAATGTCTTATTATGCAATCATCGATTAGATACCACATGGGTAGAGTTTATATTGTTAGGAAATTTCAAGAGAACGACGACTGTATGAACGAATGGACATCGAGCCTGGCATAGGTGATTTCGCAGTCAGGCAATCTAAGTTTTCTTCAGCACTTCTTAAATTAGTACTCAATAAATTTAAATAGATTCTCAAGTGGTGTGCATTATTCCGAAAATATTGAGTAGGATAAAGACAGAAAAATGAGAAATCATTTTTTTAAAACATAAGAAGAAAGTTAAAAACATATATTCTAGTCGACTTTTTTCACTTTGATGTTCCTTCCCCTCCGTGAAGCCTGAAGTCAAGTGAAGGGCTAATGATAACTATCAAAATGCCTGCCATTTGATATAAATAATATTTGAAATAAAATTTTTTATTTAAATCATGGATAATGACAATGATAATTGACCATAAATTTACAAAATAACTCACAATAAAAAACTATGAACCCTAACAAGAGGTTTACATGAAATAGAAAAATAAATTTAAGTTGGGCTTACATGCAATATACATAATTTACTAAAGATAATTAATAACTGCAAGGAACAACATCATACTTTGATAAAATATAAGTTAATTCGAGATTAGTTTTAGATAGGGAAAAATATAAAGAGATCGATTAATAGGACCTACCTGTAGGACGCCCCACATTATATAAACGAAATTGAGGCCTAATGTACAACCAACTAAGGCAATCCATTTATGCTGTTTAATGGACAACGATAGGCCATAAAAGGCTTGAGCTGTGGGTAAAGATTTTGAAGTAGAAGAAGGGGGATCAAGAAGAGGCCGGTGAGTTGGGAGATGATTTAAGAAGCAGATAACTAAGAAACGTCGAGAAATCGACATTAAGGAACTGGTTTCAGCTTCCCATTGTTGAACGAGCAGAGGAGAAATTCTTTTAAGGACGGCAATTGGTAAGTATAGGAGTGCATAACAAAGAATAATTGTGGTCAATCGTAAAAACCAGAGATCTGGAGTTAATAGTAGTTGAATAGAGGAGTAGACGCGAACTTGAATAAGAATTGCACAAATGGTGTAGGCCAATAAAAGCAGACAGAAACTAGAAAGGAAATTGTAATAAGGGTGATAACATGAAAAACAAATAGTTAAATAACTAACCCTAATGGTTTGATTTTTCTTATGGAGGAATCAAAGAATGAAATTTTGATGCAGACTTCATTTGTTGCCATTTACAATAAGCCTAAAAACGAGGCGAAATTTTGAAATTGAGTGCACTTAATTTTCAAAGATTTTATCTAAAGGGTACTGAATATATGTAAAATAAACTGCAAGTTTTAAGTAATTCTATAGGAAAAAGCAATCGATCAAATTTAATAAATCCTGAAAAATTACAGAAGGCATCCGACCTAGGATTTGTAAAGTTAGCATAGTCAATCAGATCACTTTGGTGGATTTAAACAACTTTGTAATTATTAAATTTTTATATATAATTAAAAGATCCATAACTATGTAAACAAAATAAAGCCAATAAATTCTTAAGAATTAAATACTTCTTAAATATATCAAATATTTTATTTTAAAATTGTTATTTCATATGTGGGTAAAATCAAAACTCCGAAAACTCATGATACCTAAAGCGAAATCGGCATGTTATGCTTATTTTTTAAATATGTTTATGTTCATAAATAAAATTTGCCGGTACTTATGCATGCAGCCGGTGAAATCCAAATTTCGCTTGTTAAATACAAGGGAGTTTACTATTTGATGCATCAATTTTTAATTGATTAGCTTAATACTTTGAAGGAGTAAGCCTGCTAGATAAATAAATTAATTGTGGCATTTCGATAACCGAATGATTTCTTCCAAAAGGGACTCATATCATGCTTAATAAAAATCAATAAAAATGGCTGAAATATTAAATTTGATGTAAATAAAATAATAATATTTCCCCACTACTTAAACTCGTTGATTTGTATCATTTAGATTTCCTTTTATTTAAGAGAATTATATTTAACTATTTATTTAAAACGCCATTGATAGATCTTTCCCTAGTGTAGGGGTTTACTTCACTACTAAATCCTGACTGACTAAGAAATATCTGTAGCAGTTTCTTCTACTCCTAGCTAGACTCCCAGAACTAGCTAAGCTTCTGCCCAGCTATAGAAGAAACAGACGTATAGCACGGAAGTTGCACGTCGCACCCCCCCCCCCCCCCCAATCCTGGCGTGCGTGCTGGCATGATACGTTAAGCGATGATGTGTCCCACAATGGTAAACTGGTGCCCCATTTTGACTATGAGGGCTTGGTTAATCTATAGCTACAACGCATTTATATTTAACCATCAAAAGGAAACTTAATGTCAACTTAACTCATAGATTAATAGGATGCATTTGAAAACCATTATTGATTTAATTTTAAATGGATTACGCAAGTTTTCAAGCAACATTACCGGAATACCACAAGAAATGATATTTTTCGATGAATTTCTTTAGTATTGTGACCTGTACAGATTAAAATGGATTTTTAGAATATCTTTTATACCAGTTATAGTAAGTTGTTACGCATTTAGAAATATTACAAGACTGGTACGAAGTATTCACTAGAATTCATTTTTATAAACTGCACTCTGGCGCAATTTTACTTTATATCAAATTAAAAACTGACACTTCAATTAATTTGATAAGGGAAACTAAGCAGATTTAAACATATGAATATAGAAGCAATGCTTTATGGAATTTCATGGTTTTGTAGATCTCCCTTTTTAAGAAGTTTATCAATATTGAGAACCCGAAAACGCGGGAGTATCCGCTTTCTACCCGACAAACAGGACCGAAAGCAACGTCTTGGGATGATCGATTTCACAGATTTTCTTTGAATCCTCTATTATCCTCATCTATACTCAGATGCCAATCTCTCCTAACAGTTTAAGAGTTATTCCGTACAATAGGTGAATTCATGATGAATTGATAGACTAATCCACCCTAATCTAAAACTTGAAAAAGTTGGCATTCCCATACAATGCTCTCGTTTGTATAATTAGATTTCTTCAATTTATAGCATTAAGTCTCATCCTCCCCCCCCTCCCCCTCCCCCTCTTTCCATCTGGTCAGAGTTAACTATGGCCAAGGCATATCTAGTGAATATATAAATTTATATTTATTTCAAATGGCAGGCTTTATAATTCATTTCACTTCAACCAGGTAAAGAGTGCTACTTAAATTAAGAAGTAAAAATAGTTATTTAATTAAATTTACTAATTCATTTCAATAACATAAACGGAAAATACGCTTTGTGATCAATAAGGATAGGAAATTTCTAAGTTATGAAGCGACGAAAGTTTATAATCAGTTGGAATATGTACAGTAAGGCATTATCATAATTATCTTGAAAGCACGTTTGTCCACTTTATAACCGGATACATGAAATAAAGTAGTGCGTTTAATTGAATTGCAAATCCTTGTATCGGCTGAGAAGTGAGACAATGGAGGTGGTATAGGAGTTGGTAGTCCGTACCACTCGTGGTCTCTCTGCTCGCTCAAAGTTGCCCTTCACCAATTCGTAGTATTTACCATCACAGAGAGTTAGTGATTTAAGCCGCCAGCATTTCAATCTAAAAATAAATAGGTCGAGGTTTGATCATGCATCAAATGTGTGTTGCTGTGGGACACAGCACTCTAAATTCGAAATTGAAATAACTTTTTTTTACATGCACTGATAACTTCATCTGAAAATTAGAGCGAGATGTTAAGATATAAGTGCCCTTACCTAAGCCTATCAATGAATTTTCGACTTTTGTCACTAAATCGAAGAGTTTCAGGATCCCATTGAATTTCCAGAGCCGTCAAATTGGGACAGTTGAGAGCGAAAGCATGTAGAACTTGATCAACGTGAACACGAGTGTTGTACTTGAAAAACCAACCGTCCGGTGATCCCAGAACACATATTCTGAAGGGAATATTTTTTAGATTAAATTAGTTTCTACGTATTCAGACAAGTTATGTTTGAAATACGGGGTGTGTGATAGACTTACCTCCACGTGGTGCACCCTGGGCAACGTATACTCATACGGCAAAAAAGTCTATTATTCGGCAGTTGACTTTCGACTTCAAAACACCATCACCTCACTGTTTGTCATATTCGACTACTTCCACAGTACTCACCTCACCTTTTTCACTCTACCTTTGTGTCTGTCTCTTTTACATCTTTTAAATACTCTTCTGTTCCCCCCCCCCATCTCGACCTTTTTCACTTTGATGTTCCTTCATCTCTGTGAAGCCTGAAGTCAACTAAAGGGCTTATGATAACTATCAAAATGCCTGCCATTTGATATAAATAATAAATAAATGCTTGAAATGCTTATTGATCTGAAAAAAAACAGAAGAAAGCTATTTGATATTGTATGATAGCCCTCCTCGTGAAAATCACTATTTACTAAACATCAGTGCTAGAGTAAATTTTCAATAACACTGAAAATTTCAACTCAAAGTTGAGTTATATTGTATAAATGCCGAAATTCAATTAAAATGGCATCAAAGGGAACGGTGTATTCCTCTGATCTTGAAAGTCTACAAACATGTGAGGCTTTGATTGTTGTGGTTCTTAAGTTTCAACAAAACACTCCACCCCAGAACTCAAGATAGGGACTAAATCAAAATCTCTCCAGTAGCCATTATAATTCATGGCTAGCAGGTTGTTAATGTGGACAACCTCGTCTCTGACTGCAAATGCCAATCTTGTGCCATAACAAGACAATCGCCATAATGACGCAAAATGCCCGAACACCTATTCTAATAAAATGTAATTTGTGATAGAAGGTGAATTTCATTTTTACTTACTCTATATTATTCAAGAAGGTGATCACAGTAGTCCAGAAGTATTCAGCCAGAGTGGGTTTGCCTTGCAGCATGAGACCACGAAGCTGCGGTCCGTATGTCTGCAGGAAATTCATCATAGTGTTTTCACTCAGTGACGGCGTGAAACTCAAATCCAAAGCTTTAAGATCGTTGAACTTCTGCAAGTCCACCAGATGCTTCAAAACCTGCGAATATAAACAGAGATTGGAAAACATCGCTCTAAATAAATGAGAAATATAAGTCAAATCTTTAGATGCCTATAAGTTATTTCATTTATTTCCTCTATCTCTAGCCAGAGTTAACCATACCCTAGCGATATCTTATTATCATTATTTGAAATGGCAGGTTTTGTGAAATTTATCATTGGTCCCTTAGTTGACTTCGGCTTTCACTAGGGGGAGGGGATGGGGGGAGGAACATATATAGCAGTTAATTAATAGCAGTTCATTAGTTGTCTTCTGGGTTTCCGTCGTTGTCTCTTGAGCTGGACACCGAATCAGGTGGGACTTCTCCATTTCCTTCTGTAAATCACGTAGGGGCATGTTGGTTGAGTGTATACTCCTAATCTATGAAGATGCTTTGCCAGGCAATCGTGTCCGGTACGTAGCCTAAACTCGACAACAGCTTCGATTCTTTGCCAGTTGGCTATGTCGGAGAATGCCATTGTCCACTGTTTCACCTTTGTTCAAGCTTTAAGTTCGTTGCACCTTGAGGTCTGGAATTCTCTCCTGATTAAGGTCTTCATTGTGTGGAAAGACTTTGGCCGGTCCATGCATTGCAAAATCATGGTCCCCTTCTTAGCAAGTGCGTCAGTAAGCTCAGTGTCAGAGTGTCCAGGGAACCATTGTAGAACGACTGTTTTGTATCTTGTGCGTCGATAAGTCACAACAGCTGAAGCTAGGGTTTTTATGCCACGTGAGCATTGAAAAGCTTTCTTTTGGCAAATAGGTAACCTCGATGAGCATCCTCAGTGAGAAAATCGAGTTTTGACAACCGGTTT